ACCACTGCCTTGTGGTTAGGTTCTTAAGCCAAAGTGCTAGAGGAGACAACCTTGAACAAAGAATCTGAGTGGCTGTTGGGGACCCGCCTGTATTAAACATCCCCAAGAAACCTCATGACATGTTTACTTACTCTACTACGACCAATGCTACGGCGTCCGCGGAAACCGCCGCTGCCGCCAATCGTCACGCATGGAGAGGTACCGTTCGTGACGTCATTAAGCCCGTCTTGATCAGGCATGATCACATCGTAACAAGTACAAGTAAGTACAGAGCTATCGGAGTAACGCTTTTTCTTATCTTAGGTCCTTAGCCGCGGTGGAAGTCGCTAAGGATAGTCATTAATAAACAGGAAACGGTAGCTCTCCTTTCGCCGCCCGGTTGCCTTTTTACCATCCTTAAGACACTGGGCTCTGTTGTCCGTCGAAAGTTGAAGTTAATATTTGTGCCTGTCTGGATTTGTCGTATGGGACACAACTCATGCAGGGAGGTGCGGACTGACAATTGTTGACGTTATTTCGGTCTATAACTGCTAGGAAGTGTTATTAAATACTGTACTTTGAAAAGGTTTCGCTTGGCTCGGTATTCGGGGGTCAAGAACACCTCATTAATTAACTGCACTTCCTTATTCTGTTGTTCAAAGCATCCATAACAATGACTGCATGCGTTTGAACACGGATAAATAGTCTTCTCAACATGTGCTGCTGAGGCGATCAACGCACTCACTGGTGTTGAAAATTTAGCGGGGGCTCTCAGCCTAACCTTTCTCAAGGGGTACTTTAAGGCTTCTGCTTTGGCCCCACCAAGTCATTTTCCACTGAATATACTTAAGCTGTGGTTATCACCAATGCCAATGAATTAAACTGACTGCAGACAGCAAGGTGACAGCCGGTCGCAGTTACATTAGTATTGAGACTGTCGTATTGTGCTTTCTGACGCTTGTGTTTTCGATGACATTTTGTCTGAACCTAGCAAGTCATTTACCACATGGGTCAGAGCCCCTCCAATTGCCGTCCTTGAAATCGCAATCAGAAATCTAGTACACGGCTCGTGCAGTCTTTCAACTTGTGTTTGTTTCTGGAGGTCCACAGTTCACTTCTATGTGTGTATGGGGGCTCCAAATACCCAGTCAGACTTACGTCTACTCTGGTACCTGTGAGCCTTATAGCCTTTGTTTTTAGCATACGTGTCGCTCTCCTTGAGAACTGTACATTGTTACTCAGCTAATCATAGGTCAACACCAAGGTCCTTTTGGTCCTTGACAGTTTTAAACTTTGCCGTACAGCGCCCAGATATATTGTCACATGTTTATGTGTTGAACTTACTTAATCAGTATGTATTCCAGTTTTGCGATCTTTGCATCCTTATCTAGGATAATGATATCATTTTCGTCCCAAACATATTTCCATATACTTCTCTCGTCCCTAATAATTGTCACACGTGGCTTTCCCTCGTTAGCCAAGTATAAACCGAGGTAGCCTGAGAACAAACGCTAGAGAGACGTCACATCCATGAGCAGTAACGCTTTGTTTTCGTCTCACGAGAAAACTGTCAGTCGTGCAGGTAGTAGACAGGTGAGAGCATGTTTTATGCTCAAAGCAGTGAAGTAAAATCGGTTTCTGTAAAAGCTTTCCCGTGGACCACTAAAACAACCGGTTTAATCTGTGTCCATTAAATAAAAAAAAGTGGGAGAAAAAAATCTGTAATGCTGTCTGCTTTCATGGCAGTATTTTTAATCGTTGGTGTCAGTGTATCTCTGGAGGTGTGCGCATCGGTTTTGAATTCAACTTAGGCAATTTATCAGACTGTAAGATCAGCGCGCCTGGAAAGGCATGCAATAAATTTGGGTGTTCGTGTGACGAATAAATCTGTTTTACACTGTTTTACTTGTCGCTCGCACCAAACGTAAACATCCACATATGCGATGTGCTGAATGTTATTACCGGGCCCGGTAAACTTCAGTAGGCTCTTACGACGTGAACCATGGCCGAATTATATGCGGTCGTTTTTCTGCATGTAGCTATACGACTGAATTGATTCATCTGGTAGTCCTGACACCAGTTATTGAGACCTGATGCAAAATACACTCTGTTCGGTCAGGCCTATAAGTGTTTACAGAAGACGTATTGCTGGCGGCTGTACTTGCGGTATCCCCATTGCTATTAATGCGGACGTGTCTAATCAGGACTAACCGCTACTGAAAGTACTGTTAGATGAGGGTGGGTGGGAGGACAGTGGTAGGTAGTGCTTTTTTTACCGAGTGGGCTGGTCTTGTTGACATTGGTGTTTATAAAGATCAGCATGGGTCTAAGACGAGTGTTAACAGTTGGAACATGTCGACAAGGGTTGAAGCCTGACGAACTTCGTCAATAGCATTCTAGCACTTTCGTTTCGCTTTAGTTCACTGCATTTGTTTGGTTCCGAGGACCGCTCCTCGTGGTAGTCAGTCAAGCCTGATGATCCTGAGTAAGACTAGTCCTACTATTGTTATCAATTCTCGTATTCTTCTGCGAGACTGTAGTTGCCTTACCCCAGTCACCTGTCGCAACGCTGTGCTTCTCGCGCATACCAATGACAGCCTGGTTCTCGACTCACCTCAGCTATTCCAAGAGACCAGTTAATTTTAAGGCCGACTCCGACTTAACCCCGCTCGAGGCCGTATAACGCTCAGGGCACCTCTTCCGACGTCGCACCTGAACCCTAACCCAGCCTATTGTCCAATTATCCTATACAAAATACAACACCTCAATTCATGACAATATATCATATGCTGACGTGCAACTCATCACTCCTCCTGGGCCACGCCTAGAGGTCTGTCTATGACTGTAGCTGTCGCGAAAAGGCCTTCAATATCCACGTGTCGTCGTTTTTGTCTACCTCCTGAGTAACTGTAAAGAGGTCACTATAAGGGGAACTTTTTTGCGGACGCCCATAATCCGTTCTCATGAAAAGGCCACTCCTTCGGAACGAAATCTGTCTGCTTAGCATGTAAGTCGGGTCCATGAACTAGATGTCACCATATTTACTATCCATCGAACCCACCTCGAGTAAGGGCAATTCACCCTTCTCGCCTCTCCGCATTTTTGCCCTAGAATTTAGTAGATACAGCAGAAGTTTTCTATGGCATAAAGTATTTCACGCGCAACTGGTCATCCCTGTGTCCACCCTGCAGTACGACCTACGGTGGATATACTTGGAATCGACGGTCGACTGTCTTCAAGGAAACCAACCTTTCCTCGTCGGCTCCCTATTTTAAAATTCAATATTACGGTGTGCCGCAATTACCACGCCATTCTTGTAGTCCACGAACAGTAGCTAATATTAAGCTCTTGCTTGCCATCGACATGGAGGAAGAACTCCAAACGTCAGCTGGATACTACTCGCAAGCCAGCGATGAAATCACCCTGATGATTTAGTATTGATCAAGCGATTTACGGCCGACGACGTGGAGGTTGTTCAACGCAGTTTACAGCTGAAACATGCTAAATCAGAAAACACAAAGACGATGCTGCTAGAATAAAAAGATCACAGATAGAAAATGGTAACAGAAGCGTTCTCGGAAAGCTGTATACTGCTGCTGACCAAGATATATCGTGAGCTAGATAGGCGCTCAGTAAATGCCGATAGCTAGACCCATAAAGATCTGTATCAGTAGACGTATTTGTTCATTTTAAAAAAATGGGTTTCAGGCGCAAAGCGTACAAAGGTGATCACATCCGTCTGGAGAAGGGATTTGAATAGTACTACTTGGGGTCCTCAAAGGAAGAGGCTTCTGTATTAGTGCCGGAGTACTCACGCAGATACATCAGACGACTACCACGACGTCGAATAGCATATGGGAGAAGAGGTGGTTTACGCAGACTGATCCCAAGACCACCCGGAGTCCAGGCCATCAGGCGAATCAGGCCCTCTTCCTTCGTCGGAGATTCACTCGGAGAGGATTCCTTGTTAGCAATCGTCTGTTTGCCGGCAACTGACACCCAACCTGAGAATGTGGGAATGTGCTTAGAGACATGATACAGCGTAAACGTCTCTGAAGGGACCTCTTTGCAGAAAGGAAATAGGTTAGAATAACCTTATTGACAAAAACACTGTCTATCCTCGCCTGTCTTAGATAATCAGACGAAGCGATTGGTGAGGTGGCTGCTACGCTGAGTAGAAATAAGTGGAGACAGGGATGGGGCTTAGGTACCTGAGAGATAATATATCAGTAACAGGCGCAGCTAGCCATTCGGCAACGGTTTTGGTCTAGGACACGGGAGGGTTAATGTGAGAAGGATTCCCGACAAAGTTAAGAGACGCCGGGATAAGAAGTTTTTATTTATTAGCCGTTGGCGGTCAGTCTTAATTAAACCGAGGTTTGAAAAGTTGGGATTCGAAGACGGACAATTTGATCATTGAACGCTTTAAAGCTCACCACTTTAACACTGAGCTTGTGGTTTTGCCAGTTGTGATTGTGAATACTGACTATGATGGAAGGCCGTTCACCGACCACTTAATATGAATTGCCGCAACTTAGTTAGGATACACTCAAATACGCGTTTCTCAAAACAGCTGCAAGAGATGTTATGTAATCAGAGGAATAAGGTTACCTTTGATTATATAATCAAACAATACCTGTGTTTGGGGAATCATATGCTCGGGTGTAATTTAACAGGGCAAAAAGAACAATCTTGGATGTTATATCGCAGTCCGTACTTAAGTTGTCCTTGCAACTAGACAGATCAAACTACATGCATGCTCGGATCACCCAAGCACGAACTGGGCGACGAATTATCACAAGTTGCTGCCCACATTTACGAAACTGACACGAGTTTAACTTCGCAGCCATCAAGATAATCGCCCACGCCGGAAACAAGAGGAGCCTAGTCCATGGATCGAAATTCAATTAATCGACGTATCCATTAGGCGCTGGCGTAAAGAGCCCTTCGCGGTCGCCGCAAAACTTGCCTTATTGATAATTGATGGGCTTGCAGCCCCTATAATTGTCGTCTTTTGGCTGCTGGTACTCACAACGAACATCTGCACGAGTTCTAACGCTCAGAATAATAAAAGAAACTGTTCGGGTGCTTGACCAGTCTCCTACTTTATTCATAAAAAAAGAAGTCTTGGGTAATTA